GTGTTCACCCCCGGCTATGTCTGTCTTCTTCTTCACTCTCCTCCTTCCACACTTCTTCTTCTCTCTCCTCAGTCCCTCCTTCTCTGTCCTCCCCTTTCTCTCCTCCGGTACTCTGTGTCAATGCTCCGCGGCTATGGCCGCCGTCTTCCTTCTCCACCGGACTCCGCAGTTTCGCCTTACAGGTAAGTGACAACCAATCTTGGATCGCTCATCTCTCTCTCTCTCTCTCTCTCTCTCTCTCTCTCTCTCTCTCTCTCTCTCTCGCTCGCTCGCTGTAACGGTATCTTCAGCGCAGCAGGTAAGGACCCAATCTTGTATCTCTCATGTCTCTCTCTCTCTCTCTCTCTTCGTCATGGTCTTCTTGTTGCAGGTGCGCGGCATCTTCTTCCACCTCGAGGTCCGCTATGGCGGACTGCCTCCTCCGGCGGTCACTTCAGCTGCGGCACATCGGCCCTGCACCCATCGCGCGCATGGAACAGCGGGTACCAGCTCCGATACCAGTGCAATCAAACTCGACTTAGTCACTCTCTTCATGCACGTGAACAGCAACACACAACTGGCGACATGCGCCCACACCGTACACAGAGATATGTCTCCCAGGTAAGTTCGCTTCCACTGGCTATGGCGACTAAGCGTCCAGACAACTCACTGTTCACACTTTGGATCACCCTGGATGTCCCACACGCAACACACAACACACACACACACACACACACACACTACTACAGCTATGGCAGCACTAGCTGCCACTACCCTATCGCTACACTACACTTCTCTGCCCACTTCATCTTCGGGCACACTGCAGACCTCCTCGCACAAGCTGCTGAGGCAGCGCTTCCGCATGGCATCCGCAGGAATGAATGAATGGCTGGACGCAGCCTCTTGATTTATACTTCTGCGCTGTATTGGTCTGCCCCGTATCCCTTGGCCCRCRAGGTGCACAGTCCCAGAYGGTACTTGCTTGACTGGACCGGACTGGACTAACTGGGACTGCTGACCGGACTAGGTGGACTACCACCACTTGACCACWTGCCTCTGCTGAGTGCAGGCTAATTCYSAAAGGCCACTTCTAGAAGTCTCTAACTTGGCCTTTTGGTACTGTAGCAGCTACGACTTTGCCCTTTCAGGTAAGTAGCGGCTACGACCTTGACTCTTCAAACAACCTACAGCTACGACCTCTGAGCTGTTTAGACTCCTACCCTACAAGTCTACAGTTCGAATCCCTCCTACCCTGTGTCCTACGAAAGTCTACCTACCACTGGCGATCCTACAGGTCGCAGGTTCAAAGCTACGGGTTGACATCAATACTGTACACAGGTAAGACGGGGAACTAGGGATCGAGCCCTGGGATCTGCATTCGCTACTGCGAACTGGTGAATACCGTTTCAGCGGGAGTAGGACGGGCGTCGACGGGGCGGGCAGCAACGGGCGTCGACAGCGGGAGTACTGCCTCAGCGCGGCTGCACTTCGACGACACTCCACTGGGCAGTGGCGGGAGCCGCTCGATGCTTCGAATTCGAAGCCGGGGCGCGCCGGAAAATTTTGCGCGGGGGGGCGGGGAGGCTCCCAAGGCCCAGAAATATCGAAACAGGCCTCCCCCCCCCCCCCCCCCCCCGCAAAAATGCGCTGGGCCCGCCCGGCATCGAACCGGGGGACCCAACCAGCCGGGCCGCCGGGGACCCCTGCCGGACGGAGGCTGGGCCGCCGGGCGGCCTGGAATTTAACACAGACTATGAGCAGATTGCAGTCATGTCTCCGGGGTCAGTCGTTCTCTTATTTTGTCGGTGGCGTAAACGTAACCTTGGGGCCCCGGCAGTTACTGCGATATCTGTTGTATTAATGAATGTAGACTTACTCTCACATCTTTTAAACATTTGATATTTGGGAGAGCTACCCTGGTACTAAATTTGTCAGCAAGCAGGGAGCCAGGGCGAGGCGTCCGGCATAGACGAGTTCAAATGAAGATAAACAAGAAGTGTAACAAAGTTCGACTTCCTCGCTAAGGATCCTCGTCTTGATCTGTCAGTTTCTTTGCCCCCGTGAGCTTGGATCTGGGTCAGTGTACTCGGGATCTGGTCTTGATGGTTTGATGATTTTGCTGGAAAGGACCTCCAGGGCTACCAAGATATGAGATCTCACTCTTGTTTTTGGATTACTTGCGTAGTTAATGGCCTTGACAGGGATTAATGGGTTTGACTGCTATCCCTGATGGTAGGATGATAGAAAAGGGGAACAGTTGACTAGCCTCATGTGAATCTGCATGCACCCCTGACCTTCCTTCGCTGCCATGGGATGTTATGAGAAAACTCTTGCAAATTTGGTCAGTAAAAGAGTCACTCTCTTAGTTTCCAGGGGAATCCTACTGCTGGGCACAGGTGGACTTTCACACTCAAGGGGCTCCATGCTGTGTAGAGATGAGGTTGCACTCGGGGAGTCCAATTGCGGAGTAAAGGACGGACACTGTGTTGCTCTACAAGTGCCCGAGCGAGCGCGACCCTACAAGAGTCGGCGCTGTCGTGCCAGTCTAAAAAGCCCCCGGGGGAGTTGGTGAATGCACGTCCTAGTCAACTGACAGGGCTGTTAACTCAGCTTCTCACCCCGACAGACTCTAGATGAGAAATCGAGATCAGCCCTCGTTGCCCGCATTGTCGTGCTAGTCTAAAAAGCCCCCGGGGGAGTTGGTGAATGCACGTCCTGACAGGGCTGTTAACTCAGCTTCTCACCCCAGCGGACTCTAGATGAGCAATCGAGATCAGCCCTCGTTAAGTGCTAAGTCTGCGTGATGAACCACAGGTGGAGGGAAAACAATTAAGTAAAATTGTCTGTTTAGTTGTTAAGCTTCCGCTCGATGGGTGTTAGCATTAGGTGCAATTAGCGTTTCAGATGCTGATGAAGGTTGATCAGGCTATCGGGGCTCTTGGGCACAAGTTGAGGCGGTGCCCTTGAGCATTCTCTACTTTTACCTTTGATGCTGAGCAGTCTTGGAGTTTGAAAGCGACTGTGTATGATGTCGCATGTTCCCTTTCCGATCATATCCATGGGAACTCTCAGAAAGCCGGATTGGGCACAGTTCAGGGGTGGTTCGGTGGGCGCATTGGGTTTATCTCATAATCGGGACTGGTTGTAAAATTGAATGCAGTTCTCTTTCATCGAATTCGACCCGGCTACGCAGAGGTACCCTGTCGTTCAAAAACAGAAATAGACACATTTATTGGCCTTCCTCCAGACTGTTTTACGAGCATCTCCCGTCACCCAAGGACAAGATGGCTAGAACGACTGTGATCTAATCCAAGGAGAAACGGGTTTCTATGTATGGGCATCGCCGGGCCTCAGACCCTAGATCCAAGTTCTTCAGGTGTCCGTGTGAGAAGGGCATAGGTCTGTTCAGTACAAACGCCTCCCCTACCAGGCCTCATCGAACTGAGTGCAAACACACTCTTGTGCTCAGAATAAACCCCGGTGCAAGACAAGCTCGGGATTGAGAGTTGATCTGACGCATGGCGGCTGGGAGGCAAATCCAGTACGATGTGAAGGGACATGGGGGAAACTCTGCTTGTAAACATCCCCTTCTGATGAGCGAGCTACGACCTGACCGCTTAAACCCAGAGCTTTCCATGCCCGCAGTCTAAAGCAGAGTGGCCTTCGCCACTACAACTTGGTTATGGACGGGTTTGTCGTTTACTGTAGTAGCACTTCGGTCGTTAGCCAATCATAGTGAATTTGTTTGTGGCCGAAATTGGTAGTCTGTCCCTGATGGAAAACCAAGCAATTGTTGGATACCATAGTCCAACTCCTTCTGTATGTTTCTCAAGTCCTCTACTTGGTGGTCGTAGCCGAGGGCCTTTGCAGAGACAGGGAAAGCATGGGGGCTGAAAACGCCTTATTGATGTCCTACACACTCTACCAGGATAAGGTGGAAG